AAATATAAACAAAGAAGAAATCAAATCTGTACAAATTAGTCTTGAAGTGTTTTTACTTCAGACCCACAAAATGACATCCAACACACATCAACTGGTCCAGCACAGCCAGCAGAAGCGTAATGATAAAAACATATAATAAACTACTTTACAATTAAGGTCCTAGGATTTAATAATAAACAATGACCCAAGCCAACAAATGACAGTCTAAGTGCCTTGGAGCCCAATATCACAGGGCATCTTAACATCATGACATCGAAAGTGAATTTAAGTGAGTGAAGACTGTCATTGCACTAAGACTGCATGCCTCAGTGGTAGGGTAAGATTGTTTTGTGAAACATTGTGACATGCCCTGCATATGGGTGAGTGAGTGAGTTTGATTTTACGCCACTTTTAGCAATATTCCAGCAATATCACGGCAGGGGAACACCAGAAATGGGCTTCACACATTGTACCCATGTCGGGAATCGAACCCGGGTTTTCAGCGTGACGAGCGAACGCTTTAACCACCAGACCACTCGACCGCCCCGTCCTGCATAAGGAATACCTACAAACAGGGCCCAAGTTGACAATAAGTTGTAGCAGGATCACGAGGGGTACATGGGGTTTTCTGCATCCAGCGTTAAGTTTTATACTACAAGATGGAGGTGAGTTGCATGAAACCAAAAGAGGGAAAGAAAAACCCATGTACCCAGAGGGTGAGGTGAGGTGAAATTGAGTTTAACGTTGCGTCCAAGATTACTGCACTTATATAGCGACGTGCATGCACGTGTATGTGTGTGTGTGGCTGCTTGTACTAGTCCGGACTGATGCCGATTTATAGTGCTAGCTCACTGAGATACCATGCCGCAGTTTAACATGAATACCGCACTCAGACACAGTATACTGACTCCAAGCCGACCAGTCCTTGTTTTAGCCCCTTAATGCTGAGTGCCAGACAGGGTAACAACAAGTACCATCTTTTAACGTCTTTTTGTATGACGCGGCCCGGGATCGAACCCTGGACCTTCCGCTCTCCGGGCGGACGCTCTACCACAAGACCACGGAGGCGGTCGTACCCAGAGGGATACTGTTACAACAAATGTATCTCACCGACATGTTATAACCTGCTATTGTGAAAAAATTAAAACAAATTCAAAATTGATTGAAAACAGCTGTTCGTTTGAGATTAGGTTAACTTGTGCTATGACATTGGCTTTCATAGACTCATAAAATGTTTGCGGCTTTTGCTTTGAAGCAGGGTATTTATTCTCCCTTGCAGGCAGGATACATAGTATTTTACCATGATCACGCGGACCAATCAGATCTGGTCATTCTGATATGGAGGTATGATAAAGTTTTTTAACGCTACGACATGGAAAGTAAGTTAGGTGAGGGATGAAAGCCACAGCACTCATATTGGTGCAGTGTAAGATTGTTTGTGAAACAGGGCCCAAGTCAGATGCCCTGCATATAGAATACCGTATTCGACGTAATAAGCGCCCCGCTCTAATAAGCGCCCACGGCGATATTTGCTAGTATATTGGCTAGTGAAAAATCCCAATTAGCACCCCTTCCGATTGATCAATGTTCACAAGAATTATTTGTTCGCGTATAATACACACTCGTGTGTTACATGCACCCTTAATTATGGGCAATTAAATTCTGGAAAAATATATCTGTCGTATATAAACATTTCAGCCTGTCTGCATAAACCACGAAATTTACCTTTCAACTCTGTTTTTTTTCCACCAAAATAATATTCTAATAAGAGCCCCCTATTTCTAATTTTGAAAGCGCCCCGGGCGCTTATTACGTCGATTACGGTAGGTCCTTCAACAGGGCCCTGCAGTCTGAATGCTCTGACATCGTAAATAAATGTTGGAATCTCATTGGAGTCAGAGCATTAAGCATGCTAGCAGTATCACTCTGGGTACATGTTTTTTTTTCTTTCCCTCTTTTGGTTTCATGCAACTCACCTCCATCTTGTAGTATAAAACTTAACGCTGAATGCATAAAACCCCCTGTACCCCTCGTGATCCTGCTACAACTTATTGTCAACTTGGGCCCTGTTTGTAGGTATTCCATATGCAGGACGGGGCGGTCGGGTGGTCTGGTGGTTAAAGCGTTCGCTCGTCACGCTGAAAACCCGGGTTCGATTCCCGACATGGGTACAATGTGTGAAGCCCATTTCTGGTGTTCCCCTGCCGTGATATTGCTGGAATATTGCTAAAAGTGGCGTAAAATCAAACTCACTCACTCACCCATATGCAGGGCACGTCACACTGTTTCACAAAACAGTCTTACCCTACCACTGAGGCAGTCATAGTGCAATGACCATCTTCACTCACTTAAATTTACTTTCGATGTCATGATGTTATAAGACTACCTTTTGCCCAGGGTGCCATTGTACAATGCGATCTTAGCACTAAGGTGATCATGACTCTCTTATTATAGACATACGACAGTTGTGGCGCGCTAAGGTTATTTTGTACAATGGCACCTGGGTCATATAATTCAACACATCCCAGTTTCATAAGGTGTTCTTGGAGCCATGAGTGTCACAGATGCCTGTTAAAGTATAGGAATAATAACTGTCAGGGTTCTATGAGCCTTGATTGAATGAAACCCTCGAAAAGTCCACCAATGGTAGATAACAGCAATATATTACAGACAAATCCTCCAATGGTAGATAACAGCAATATATTACAGAAAGCTGTGCAACTAGATGTAATGACAGTCTGAACTCTCGACATACATAAACAATGGATGTGCTCTGTCCCCTGAGACAATAGAGACTGCAGTGCATGGAGACAAAGAGGACATTCACAGTACAAGATATAGTAATTTCAGAACCTGACAATGTACTGAACTTAAAATTCAAAATACATGCAATAGATGAGTGAGTGAGTGAGTGAGTGAGTGAGTGAGTGAGTGAGTGAGACTCAACATCCCTCTAAAACTTCTATCACAGCCTGTCAGCTTGATGTAGGAGGAAAGCCCTAAGTGAATCAGGCCTAAGTGTTACCAATTTAAGAGATTTGCAGAACACTAATTCCTATAATCTGATCTATTGATCTATGATGTTCTTTTCTAGTTCACAATCTAATTATCATACTGAACATTAAACCATCTACTGACACATTAACTTGCACTTTAAAAAAAACATTGTCGAGCTGAGTAAATATTTAATCACAGAAAAGAAAGGAGTGATGTCGTTTCTCTAGACCACAAACAGATTTGAACGACCTGCAGCATCTACAAACATTCATTGAACTAAATAATTCACTGGAATGGCCCTTGAGCAAGCAGGCATTCAGTTGAACAATAACTAGCTCTGTTCGTGTTATTTCTGTCAGAGTGTACCATTAATCGAAGAGAATATTTCTGATTCCTACTGCACAGTGTGGCCAGAGCATGATATGGCTGTAGTATCACTGACACAGTAATGCATGGTAGAGTAGGTTATGTGAGACGGGAAATACCGTAAATAGTTGAATAACTGTTACCTGTACTTCCAGGACAACATAAACTATGTCACGTGACACAGTGATGACTGATTATTTTGGTCACACTTGTGGTCACAGAATGTTTTGCAAAATAAATGACTACAGTCAAATTCTAAATTAACAAGGAATTCACAAATTCATTTTCAAATAACTGAATTTTGATGTTCACATAAGCAGGATTGTTGATGTCTTTCAAAGGGGATGTGAACTCATCTCACAATGTGTGTTTGTTGTTTAATGCTGTATTCAACAATATTTGATCTAATCCAGTGATTGACCTTATGAGCATCAGTTGTCACTAGCCAATTTAGAATGCCTGAGCACCCAATCTCATTAATCGCCCCTTACAAGCAAGGGTTGCTGAAGACCAATTCTAACCTGTATCTTCATCATAAAAGAGCCAATTAACCGTCCTATTCAACTTTGTTAAGTTCAGAGCTGAAAGTACCTGAAATACATGCTGTCGCAGAGAATCAAGAAACGAATATATGACAGAGTGTTTAATACAAGATTTACGGTAAATTCGGCTACCCGATTAAAAGAAGAAAAAATATGATAAAATGCTGTCTTCATCATCTTAGCGATTTTCTGAGAGTGGTTGAGAGAAATGTAAACAGCTTCCATGACCAAAATACATCCATGTTTGTCTCGGCTATTCTTGGCAGTTGTCATTGTTAAAGGTCACAGATAGTGACACAATCATTCTCTAAATATATGTCTTTTATAAAGAGCAACCGACAAGTTCTTTTCACAGGCTCATTTGTCTGAATTAATCTTTGACATGAAATAGGTTCTCTTGACAGAAACCAGTAAGTGATCAATAGCCATTGCGAGGCAGTTAGCAGGCATTTCTGGACCAGGCTTTCATGGTAATCTTACTTTTATAGTTTTCTGTGAACAGATTTAGATGCCATATATGAATATAATCCACAGGTTTCTGTTTGCCTTCTCACCAGAGCAGCTGAGTGAGCCCTGTAACACTATTTCTGTGAATGTCTCATTTGTTATGAATATATCCAGAATAACCTGATCATGTCACTTTGAAAAATCTAAGATAAAACAATTATGGGATAAAAAAAACCCAACAAAACAAATATCTATGAAACAAAAGAATCATTACCTTTCTGTAAGTTTTTTGTTTAATCAGGTATAAAATTTGTAATAAAATGTTGAAAAATGTAATAAATAAAGACAGACTACCTATAACAGAAAAATGAAATGACATTTCTATCAATAATTCTGCAAATGTACGAGAGAAAATAGCATCAATACGTGTACTAAATGTAAGGTAATACATCAGCAGTAGACTGAAAACCTTTCTTTACAACACACCTGGTATATCGGTGTGTTATAACAAGTAACCTGATCAAGATGTAGATCTGATCTGTGTTAGGATGCTTCTAGAGTTAATGTGTATGCAAGATTCAAATCTTGTTTTATTTTATTTCGTGGCTGACTATTTTTACAAGAACATAACAAATCTCACATAAGAAACGAACAAAAATAAAAACATACCTTTTCATACAGCGAATGAAATTCATTGTATCTTCTAAAGATGAACCACGATTGTTCGTCCGCATTGACAACCACTTTGTACACCTGCAAGGGGAGAAATCGACATATCATGTCAAGAAAACGTCTCTTGGAACGAAAGTTACTTTTTTTTCTTCTCCCCATTGTTAAGCAATCAATTTCGGTAATTCTGCAGTCACAGGTCAGATGTTGTAGTACAGAGAACCCAAACTGTTGCTTTTATCACAGAACATTTGTCCACAGTTGACAGATCCAAAACTGTTGCTTTTATCATAGAACATTTATCCACAGTTGACAGGGACCGAAAACTGTTGCTTTTATCACAGAATGTTGGTCCACAGTTAACAGAACAAGTCATCATTGCCATGCAAACTAAGCATCTGCTTGCAATATGAATAAACACCGAGATTCCAGCACTTCATAGCATCATATCCCACACAATATGTAGCCATGACATATCTAGGATAACACCCTAGGTTACTCTCCCTCCACGTTCAACTATTGGGAGATTCATGCATGGTGGTGAGTCTCCATCTCACTGCCTCACTGTTTGTGTGTAGCTCTCTACAGCGCGATTGATCGAGCAAATGAATGAACTGGCATCAGCCGCTGGTGACATCACTCCACCATTATAATACACCAGATTATGTTCTCATTAGCCAGGCATGCACGACTTCATTGAGGCGATGAGCTTGTTGACAGGGCGCTGGCCTGTGGAACGTAACGTGATGTCATCTGTGACAAATTTGACCAGTACTGGCAGGAATGTATCAGTCGACAATCTGGGGCCAGTTTACTCAATCTTAACACTCAGGTCCTGGAGGGGACGGGATTTCAATATTTGGCAAGACAATACCTTTGTGTTTATTTCAGCGGTTTCCTTTCCACTGAGTGGAGAACTGTCAACTTTTTGTGGATTAAGCTTAGAAAGGAGATTTGGTTAATCAGCTGAATACAAAGGATGATAATTGTTAAGATACTGATGGTGGTGTTTGACCTCTCTGCTGTGGTCTATAGACTTGTTCACTGCTAATGTTTATTTCCATGCAGATCTCTTGATAAATGGGCCCCAAAGTTTACATAACCTGTAGATATGTTAATGTCAGAGAACTTTCCTTAGACCAAGTCATTAACTGATTGTATTAACAGGTGTTGTAACACAACAAATAACAAACCCTCAATGCAATAATATAATATTTACTCCAAACATAAAAATTAAATTTTAGTGATCACAAGGGAAGGTACTGAAATCAAACAAATAGGTTTGGCTGTTTTTATGCTGTAAATTCTTTTTTTATCATGAGTAATTTTTTTTTTTAAATTATCAAAATAATAAACAGGATGACATCCTCGATTATCCAGGGTATTACATCTCCATTCTATTAGAATAGATACCATGGACCAATTTTCTAAATTTGGGGGGTCATGATTTTCTTTACACTAATACAGTTGAGTTCTTTCTGTTTTATATCAATTGACACAGTTTTTAATCTATGCAGGAAGCGTCAATTTAGAAATTATTAAGGAAACATGAGAATCCATACAAGTCAATGTCCATTCCAGGCAACTTGGAGGACCTGGACGTTCAGGCTAGAAGGATCAAATTAAAATTGTAGTCAGTATGTTATTGCTTCACTCAGGAAATTATTGAGTTAAATATGCAGGAATTACGTGTCATGTAAAACCCTGAGCACAGAATTTCTTGCCCTCATCAGCTCGATATCCGATCCAATCAAACGCCTCTTCTGTATGAGAGTTCGGCATACATCTAGATTAAAAACAGCAGCAGCATCCGAGTGAGTTCTCAAATTATTTAAATGCATCAAAGTACTGTTATAATTAAGTTTTCGCTGGGAAAGATGATTCCTGTGTATGGCGGAGGAGTGTCGTTTTGCTACAAGATTTTCGCATTGTATTTTCAACGGCATGCAAAAGTTGAGACGAGTACTGGTGATACCACTGACTGCGTAAATCCTGAAATGACAGCATAATTTGATTGGGAATCGGTTTCAAAAGCATTGTGTCCTCGAAACAAGGACAATGTGGCGAATGGGTCCAGTGTATACATCATAATAGAATGGAAGATATAATACACTGGACAAACAAGGATGGTAGGATAAACAATTAATGATCTTGGTAATAACGAAAAAGGGATGTGTTATTCTAATTATACAACATGGGAGCATGGACATTAGCGTGACACTACTCCAATGCTACACATCATGATTCCTACACAGACAGGAATGGTTGAGTATAAATGTTTTGCTACCACAAATAACACATAACTTAACCTTTTCATGAACACCTGGTGTCACTACTGATTTTTAGTGAACCATTCATTAACTTTTTATGACTCCTTTGCCTTTTACAACCTCTGGAATCTGTTCCACCGTATTTTAAAAAATGATTATCCTCTGGCGTAGTCGATTTGAATTTATCAATATCTAAACCTGCACTTGTACAGATGAATGTTTATCTTATTTTGTAACAAAAAATATTTATTAGAAACTTTGTTTGTAGTGGTTAAGGAAGTAGCATAGAAGAAGTGCCAGATTTTCACCAACGCATTTCACTCTTAGTGTTTCCATATACCGTATGAAGTGTCCTGCTCCAAACAGCACCCCCTTACTAACTTCTTAACGAATCTGTATGTAATCTCTAACAGTGCCCTGACAAAGGGCTCCGGAGCGGAACATAATTACTTGGTAACTACATGTATCATCGAAAATGTTTTAGTTTCATTGACTTTGGAGCTAAGTCTGTTCACTACCACTCAAACTTTGAAAACAGATTTAACTTGCTGCTTATGTTTTTAATAAGCGCACCCCTTTTGTCAATTTTCTAAGTGCCGGAGCGGAACATAATTACTTGGTAACTACATGTATCATCGAAAGTGTTTTAGTTTCATTGACTTTGGAACTAAGTCTGTTCACTACCACTCAATCTCTGAAAACAGAAAAAGCGCACCCCTTTTGTCAATTTTCTAAGCGCTTATTACAGTAAATATGGTAGTACATATGCTGGGTCAGTGTGGCTAGCATAGATCGCTGAACACTTGAAACGACCAGTACTTGTGCTATAATAGATAAGTTACCAGATGCAACTAATGGCGTATCAAGTAGTATAATCAATGAAAATGTTGTTAACTCATTCACTGCTCCAATGCTTTATTCTCATGATCAGTTTGTGTGACAAACAGAATATGCTAATTTGCCATCCAATTATACGGTTCTGTTTTCAATAGAATTCATGTAGCTAGAATACTGGTGATTCACCATGAATAGGTGAGTACGGTACATGAAAGGAATGATAAACTGCTTAACCAGAAAATACATATACCTACAGTACTTAGATAAAAACCTACACGCTATGAGGAAATAAGGAATATCTTTCTCGATTGAAATAATTGTGTATGTTCCGAACATTGAAATCACTATCAGCTATATCCTTGGCCCTATGTTTTTAATATCATTATTAACATAATAACATAACACTGCAAGTACTTGAAATAAAGATTGATTGATTGATTGAATACTGCAAGAGCAATATACAACAAATTGAGCACATATAATTATATATAGTATGAATTTTGGTTATAAGCCAATAAAACATAAATCTACTCAATATATCATTAATAATACCATTATGTACCACAGCAAAAACAATTTAAATACATTAGTAACAACATATCAACCATCCGACCATGTACACCATATTCATATTCAGCACGTATATAATTTGTTTTTTTGTTTTAAACCGTAAATACATAAATCTACACAAAATATCACTGATAACACCATTACGTACCACTGCAGAAGCAGTTTCGGCTACATAAGTAACAACACATCAACCATCTGACCATGTACGCCATATTCAGACCTGTGAAGATCCGGGGTAGAATAGGTCTTGAGCAACCCATGCTTGCAGTGAAAGGCGTTATGCTTGTCAAAAGAGGTAACTAATGGTCAGGCTCGCTGACTTGGTTGATATATGTCATCGTATCCCAATTCTGTGGATCGATGATCATAATATCAATCACTGGATTGTCTGGTCCAGAACGATTATCTACAGACCGCTGTATAGCTGGAATATTGCTGAGTGCGGCGTAAAACAACAAACAAACAAACACCTTATTCAGCCTGTGTATTATTTGATTTTGGTATTAAGCCAAAATAACATAAATCCACATAGAATATCAATTTCAGATAGATCCGTTACAGTACATCAGTCCCCTGACAGTGTACAACATATTCAGCACATGTACATGATTTGATTTTTGGGCTAGCACTGCCAGGTCCAGTGTTAATGTGGTTACATGTGGATTTGTACCATCAGTGCTGATGAAGCTGCCAGTGATCTAACATCCATGTGTGATGAAAGCCAGACATGGTGGGAACAGACTGTCTGCAACATCAGCCACACATCAGTTGTTTAACGCCGCACTCAGCATTATTCCAGTAATTGACATCATGAGCATTGATCCATGCAATTGGGATACGATGACATGCATCAACTAAGTCAGCGAGCCTGTTCATCTGATCCTGTTAGTCGCCTCTTATGACAAGCATAGTCGCCTTTTACGGCAAGCATGGGTTGCTGAAGACCTATTCTACCCCGGATCTTCACGGGTTTAATGGTTAATTTGTTTGCCTACCATGCACATGACATACTTTCACAAACAAGTAAACACAGTCATGAAGGAATGTTATTGATGCTGCTGCTGCTGCTGCTGCTGGTGATGATGATGATGAAGGTCCAAAGTAGTGAGTATTTGGAAAAAATTAAACTTTTAATATAGATACCTATTGGCCACATTTGAACACATTATAGCATCATTGAGATACCATTGCTGGGAACAACAAAGCAACATGTCAGCTTTGTCCACCTTCGGATTTCAGAGGTGATATTGTTAATGTAAAACTTTATGACAGACGGGTGACAGACAACAGACAGCGCAACAATATATAAGCTCAATTAAGCCTTTGGTTCAAACAGGCGAAGAATTCCACCAACACACATGACACAGGCTGCACAATTTGTCTTAGTTCAGTTCTATAACACAGGCT